ACAACGTGGGAAGGTAATAAATATTTGCTACACAGAATATTGATACTGTAACATGACAGCTGGGGGAACCACTTTAAACTTGCATGTTTGCCAAAAAATGTCAAAATGAACGGAAAATATTATTTGTAGTCCTTCCAGTAAACACACATGCACTGTGTAAGATTCTGACACGGCACGTTGTTTTTTCAGCTGGTAAATGAAAATTTGCACAGAACACATCTGCTTTTTCAATGTTTGTCGTATATCAGCGAATACGTGGGAGTGCCGGCTGGGTAGTTACATGGGACAAGAAACCTGGATGGTTACAACTGTTGAACAACAAGTTAGGCGAGTGTTGCATAACAAAGCACCACATCTGGTAACGGCACATACACGTCTTTGTGAGTGCCCATTGCAGGGCAGGACATGCTGTTCATTTTCGCGAATTTCACGAGGTCGCCGTGTGTGTCCTGAGTGCAATGAGAGAATATTGTACAAAACGAATTTTTAGCTATTGATGAAGTTTTCTTGTTTTGTTGGTTTGTTGTTTAACGCCGCGCTCGGCAATGTTCCAGCTATATGGCGGCGTAAATATTCGAGGCTGCACTAGACAATTCAGAGCAATGACTTATATAAATATATAGCGAAGCTAACCACCCATTCCCGTTACTTGCCTCTTACAACAAGCATGGGTTGCTAAATCGGATCTTCACGGGTAAATGTTAAAGAACTGACGATTGCTTGTTAGATGGATGAATGGGTGGGTCATCCGCTCGAACTTATCCGATTACAAGCATAAGGGAGAGTCCGTTTTTGACGCCCCTCTCTCTGATCGGACTTCGGGCAATCTTATGGATAGTTACAAGCACCCTCCGTTGTTTGTGTGCTGTTTAAAGCCACTCTCATCACTATTCTAGCTGCATGCCGATGGTTATAAAATAACAGAGTTGGGTCAAACAGTCCAGTGAATGGCAGCATGAGCAACGATCACCGACCTCGGGGTTCATGACACGCAAACAACGACCACTCCGTGCCCTACCATCCAATCCCTTATCTCGCCTCTACTGTGAGTGAGTGAGCTGAGTTTTACGCCGCTTTTAGCAATATGGAGCAATATCACGGATGGAGACACCAGAAATGGGCTTCACGATTTGTACCCATATTGGGCATTGAACCCGGGGCTTCAGTGTGACGAGCAATCGCTTTATCCACTTGGAGTGAGGCATTAAACAACAACAAGGACAAACAAATGAACGTATTCATAAAAAATATGTGAAGAATATATTTACCTCCTAAATACCATCCTCCCTAGTTTCGTGAATAGCATAGGAAATTGAAAACAAAATTGTACGTTTTACTCTACTTGTTCACTATCATTGGATCTCTTAGACTGACTGACTGAGTTTGGTTTTACGCCGCTTTTAGCAATTTTCCAGCAACATCACGGCGGGGGACACCAGAAATGGGCTTCACACATTGTACCCATGTAGGGTTTCGAACCCGGGTCTTCGGCGTGACGAGCCAACGCGTTAACCACTAGGCTACCCCACCGCCCCGGATCTCTTAGAGATTTAACGAGTGGTGCATGCTTTTTAATGTCTTCGAAATTAATGTGGTCCATTGTTGCTCCTAATGTCAATCAGTGGATTGTCTGGCCCACACAATGTACCTGGAATATTCTTCAAACATTAAACAAGAACAAAGGGGAGTGAGCATGCTTACAGGTGTCTTTAAAGCAATACCCAAGCATTATCATGAGATACAGAAAGGGATCCACAAAGACCATGAATACCCACATAAAATCTTTATTTGTGTCAGGAGCTGGTTTGCAAGGTCTATGTGGGGACCTGCTTCCAGCACAGACATCTCAGGTGCTGACAAAATATCCCGTCAATACATCTCGGAGTCGCAATGAATGGAAATTTGGCGTGGGCAGTGTTACAGTACCGCCAGTGTGCATCAGCGAACTGTGACTTTTTAGTATCATCAGCCTCCTCAGAGATGGGAAGTAGGTCCAGATTGACATTGCTGTCTGTGAATCCTATACCAGGACTGTTGATCTGCCTAGGAGCTCCGCTTGTCTCAGTACCATGAATGTCTGTTGTTTCTGTACAATGTGTTGTGCCCCCACTACTGGTGGGTGAATTTATTGGTTGTCTTGTATTGTTTCAACTGGGGTAAGAACGTTTCTGACTGGTATGGTACACCAGCACTTATGTCGCCTCTATAGTGAGTGAGTGAGTTTTAGTAATATTCAAACAATATCATGGCGGGGGGACACCAGAAATGGGCTTCACACATTGTACCCATGTTTGGAATCGAACACAGGCCTGACGAGCGAACGCTTTATCCACTGGGCTTCCCCAACACCCCTCGCCTCTAACGACAAGCATAAGTTGTCGGCAGTGTCTTATAACCAGGCACCACTGCAAGGTAATTCAAAAGTTTAATGCATTCAAAAATAATAATGCATTCATGTCCGCCCGTCTCAGTCTCTAGGTGACGTTAACCGCTTTACTAACATTTTCTCTCATCCAAATTCTACGGAATCGTGGACACGTTGGCCTCGCCATGTGTCCCGTGGAGTTTATCCATTACATGAGCCCACAGCTTGACTCTTCCTATACGGTTGTAGCAACCCTGTCATCAGAGACCATTTGATTTCAACACCGATAACCAATGCATAGATTACCCAGAGATACATAATGTCAGCTGTGGCACCACGCGCCATTCCGCCTGAGTCATGTGATGCTTGTTAAGCTCACCTAACTTGACTGATGTTTGTTTGTTTGTTGTTTAACGCTGCACTCAGCAATATTCCAGCTATATGGCGGCGGTCTGAATATTATAGTCTGGGCCAGACTATCCAGTGATCAACATCATGAGCATGGATCTACGCAGCTGGGATACGATGACAACCAAGTCCGCGCGCCACAACCCGATCCCGTTAGTCACCCCTCACGACAACCATGAGTTTCTGAAGACCAATTCTAACCCGGATCTTCACTGGTACTTAACTGAACCCCGCCATATGCCTGGAATATTGCTGAGTGCGGCTTTAAACAACATATACTTGACTGAACGTATTTTATTTTTTATGAATATATTTGCTTCGGTTTGTCAAACTTCCAGACATCTCAAGTTGTACAAATGTGAACATGGGTATTGCCGCCCCTTGTTCACTATGGTATTTGTGGTATTAAGTTCCCAGATCCAGTGAGTACCTCTTGAATACCATCTCAACCAGTTTATCAGTAATTATTTTTAAGCTACCTACACGAACGTGGAACATTCACGCCACCGTCCCTAGTTTCTGGGACCGCCTCCGTGGTGTAGTGGTTAGAGCGTCCGCCCGGAGAGCGGAAGGTCGCGGGTTCGATCCCCGACCGCGTCATACCAAAAGACGTTAAAATATGGTACTTGTTGGTCCCTCCCTGGCGCTCGGCATTAATGGGTACAACAAGGACTGGTCGGCTCGGAGTCAGTATAATGTGTCTGAGTGGGGTATTCATGCTTCACTGCGGCATGGTATCTCAGTGGGCTAGCACTATAAAACCAGCTTAAGTCTGGGCTAGTACAAGCAGCCGCACATACACATACACACGCATGCACGTCGTCATATGAGCGAAATATTCTCAAGCACGACGTTAAAACCCAATTTCACCTCACCTCACCTCACCCTAGTTTCTGGAATACCAATGAAAATGTTAGTTTTAGTTTTACAGATGCATGGACTCAACGCTGGATTTAAATAGCAGTGCATGTTCTTTTTAAATGTCTTCGTATCCAGCAGAGTATTCCTTACACAATAAACAAAAAGGAAGGTACAAAGCGTGAGTGAGTGACTACCACCCGATCCCTTATCTCGCCTCTACTATGAGTGAGTGAGTTTAGTTTTAAGCTGCTTTGAGCAATATTCCAGGAATATCATAGCTGGGGACACCAGAAATGGGCTTTACGCATTGTGCCTATGTGAGGAATCGAATCTGGGTCTTCAGTGTGACGAACGCTTTATCCACTTGGCTACCCAACTGCCCTCACAGGATACCAAGGGGCTGTGGGGTAGCCTGGTGGTTAAAGCAATCGTTCATCACCACGTAGACCTGGGTTTGATTCCCCACATGGGTTAAACATGTGAAGCCCATTTCTGGTGTCCCCCACCCTGATCTTGCTGAAATAATGCTAAACTCGATGTAAACCTAAACAAACTCACTCATGCGATCACAGGATACCAGAAAGTGATCCACAAGGATACAAAGACCATGAATACCCACATAAAATCTTTATTTGTCTCAGGACCTGGTTTGCAAGGTCTATGTGGGGACCTGCTTCCAGCACAGACATCTCAGGTGCTGACAAAATATCCGTCAATGCATCTCGGAGTTGCAATAAATCAAATTTGGCGTGGGCAGTGTTACAGTACCGCCAGTGTGCATCAGCGAACTGTGACTTAGTATCATCAGTGTCACATGAGATGGGAAGTAGGTCCAGATTGACATTGCTATCTGTGAACCATGTACCAGGACAGTTGATCTGCCTAGGAGCTCCGCTTGTCTCAGTACCATGAATGTCTGTTGTGTCTGTACAATGTGTTGTGCCCCCACTACTGGTGGGTGAATTTGTTGGTTGTCTTGTATTGTTTTCACTGGGGTACGAACTTTGTGAATTTTCTGACTGGTATGGCTCACCAGCACTTGTGGCAAGTATTTTCTTGGAGTCAGTGCTGTCTTTGTGGATGTCACTTTGTATCACAGAGTTCCAATCAGCAGAATTCATCACTGAGTCAGATGCTACATTAGCAGAATTGATCACAGAATTAGTTGCTAGATCAGCAGAATTTATCACAGAATTAGTTGCTAGATCAGCAGAATTTATCACAGAATTAGTTGCTAGATCAGCAGAATTTATCACAGAATTAGTTGCTAGATCAGAAGAATTTATCACAGAATTAGTTGCTAGATCAGCAAAATTTATCACAGAATTAGTTGCTAGATCAGCAGAATTTATCACAGAATTAGTTGCTAGATCAGCAGAATTTGATCAGCAGAATTTATCACAGAATCAGTTCCTAGATCAGCAGGATTTATCACAGAATTAGTTGCTAGATCAGCAGAATTTATCACAGAATTAGTTGCTAGATCAGCAGAATTTATCACAGAATTAGTTGCTAGATCAGCAGAATTTATCACAGAATTAGTTGCTAGATCAGCAGAATTTATCACAGAATTAGTTGCTAGATCAGCAGAATTTATCACAGAATTAGTTGCTTTATCAGCAGAATTTATCACACTTGTGGTCAAATTTGTATCACAGTTTCTTTGTTCTGTACATAATGACTCAGTTTCACTGACAGGTGTTGGAGCCACATGGAGCCTGGAGAGAGCGTGGAGCCGATGCTGGGCGATGGTGGTGAGGAAGGAGAGGAACTCGATGTAGTTTATGCCGCTGCTGGCCTTCAGGATCAACTGGAACACAACAGGCAATATACATTAAGGTCAGGATGACATGACAAGACAGTCACACAGGCAATATACATTAAGGTCAGGATAACATGACAAGACAGTCACACAGGCAATATACATTAAGGTCAGGATAACATGACAAGACAGTCACCCAGGCAGTAACTGCATTGCACACTAACTGTTTGTGTCCAATCTATTCATCTGAGCTGCCAACCTAAAGTTGGTCCATAATGAACTCAACTCTCTACCGATGGTCCGTGATCAACCAATCTGATCCCTTTTGATGGTCTATGACAAACTAACCTGATCCCTCTTGATGGTCTATGACACACTAACCTGATCCCTCTTGATGGTCTAGGACAAACTATAACCTGATCCCTCTCGATGGTCTATGACAAACTAACCTGATCCCGCTTGATGGTCTATGACAAGACTAACCTGATCCCTCTTCACTCATGACAAACTAACCTGATCCCTCTTGATGGTCAATGACAAACTAATCTGATCCAACCTGAAATGATGGTCTAACCTGATCTCCTGATGGTCTATGACAAACTAACCTGATCCCTCTTGATGGTCTATGACAAACTAACCTGATCCCTCTTGATGGTCTATGACAAACTAACCTGATCCCTCTTGATGGTCTATGACAAACTAACCTGATCCCTCTTGATGGTCTATGACAAACTAACCTGATCCCTCTTGATGGTCTATGACAAACTAACCTGATCCCTCTTGATGGTCTATGACAAACTAACCTGATCCCTCTTGATGGTCTATGACAAACTAACCTGATCCCTCTTGATGGTCTATGACAAACTAACCTGATCCCTCTTGATGGTCTATGACAAACTAACCTGATCCCTCTTGATGGTCTATGACAAACTAACCTGATTTTAGTTAGTCTTTGATGCCACAGTAATATAATTGAATCTGGACCAAACAATCCAGTGACTGACAACATAAACATCGATCTATGCAATTGGGATAGGACTCCATGCATCAATTAAGTCAGGACTCCAACCACCCGATCCTGTTAGATGCTTCTTTCGACAAGCAGGGTTGATGAAGATCAATTTGGTCAGGATTTTCACAGATACACCCAACTGAGCTCAACAGATGGCCTGTGATCCACTGAACAACTCAGTCTTCAAGTCATAAAAGACTGGCATCCTGACGTGACATCATTAAAATTACACAAAATATTCAATGACCTCCTTCTTCAAGGCAATAACCAGGAAGTGCTTGATATTGCAGTCACTAGCACTGGGCCAAAATGTTCATGAAATTACTGCAGCCTCTCGTGCTATTACTGTGGAGTGATAAAAAATCTAAATGGAACGTGTGAAGTAGGGAAATAATTGGAGTTATCTTCCCCTGTCAATAGTTTGTTCAGATTCTACTATTCTACTACAACAAGTCGTAATGAGCAATTCCCACACTTTCGTTCAGAGCCTTCCTTGTAGATCAAAACATTCAGGAGCTGTAATTGGATAACTTTCTTTTATCATGTAGTAGCTGTTGAATGCCGCTATTATTTAAAAAGGCGTGACGTGTACTGTGTTTAGCTTCCTGTAATCAAAAGAGGTGTTTTCGAAACTAGAAAATATTATTTATTTTTATTGTTGCATTAGGCCACATTTGACATGTACATGTAATTGTTGTTGAGTGAGTGAGTGAGTGAGATGGGTTATACGCCACTTTTAGCTATATTCCTGTATATCACTGCAGGGGACACTAGAAATGCGCTTCACACAGTGTACCCATGTATGGATATAAACCTGAGATTTCGGCATGATGAGCAAATGTTTCATACGCAAAGCTACGGGACCGGCCCTGTTGTTCAATGCTTAATTATTTGTGAAGAAATTGAAATTTTACAACATATGACTATGGAAAACGTTTTGTTCTGTGGCAGTCCCACCTGACACTGCTCTTGCCATCCGTCCATGTCGCGACAATCGGCAATCTCCTTCTGTTCATCTCGGAGACACTGCTGGATGTGTGCCCAGCAAATGTCCATGTTACATCCGTTCAGCCAGTTGTGGTTGATGGAAATAGTGTCTTCCTGTAACAAATATTTTTACTCCATTTTTAGAACAGTAACAGCCTTCTTATATGAATGTGCAGATTAGAGAGTGAGTGAGTGAGTTTTGGTTTTACGCCGCTTTTGGCAATATTCCAGCAATATCACGGTGGGGGACACCGGAAATGGGCTTCAAACATTGTACCCATGTACGCGATAAATACGCGATAGACTGGTCAGCAAGCTCGCTGGATGTGACATCATACACCAGCTGACCAAACACATCAGTCAGGCACTTTTCTTCTCCTGCCACAAACAAGGGTCATCATGAAAGGGTGAGTTACCTGGCTTGGATACTGCCACAAACAAGGGTCATCATGAAAGGGTGAGTTACCTGGCTTGGATACTGCCACAAACAAGGGTCATCATGAAAGGGTGAGTTGCCTGGCTCGGATACTGCCACAAACATGGGTCATCATGAAAGGGTGAGTTACCTGACTTGGATACTAACACAAACAAGGGTCATCATGAAAGGGTGAGTTACCTGGCTTGGATACTAACACAAACAAGGGTCATCATGAAAGGGTGAGTTACCAAAACATTGGATACCTAGTTTAACACAAACAAGGGTCATCATGAAAGGGTGAGTTACCTGGCTTGGATACTAACACAAACAAGGGTCATCATGAAAGGGTGAGTTACCTGGCTTGGATACTAACACAAACAAGGGTCATAACACAAACAAGGGTCATCATGAAAGGGTGAGTTACCTGGCTTGGATACTGACACAAACAAGGGTCATCATGAAAGGGTGAGTTACCTGCATCATGAATTCTTTTTGCTTGTTTGTTTGTTGTTTCCCACCATACTCAGCAATATTCCAGCAATATGATGGCGATCTGATAGTCTGACCCTGTTAGCTGCCTCAAGGAGGACAAACAAGGATTTGAACCCTGGATTATAAGTTTCTTACACGCTGAAGTGATGCAAATCCGTAAATTACAAGTCCTCAGACAACTGGGCCTACCATACCTCTTATTTGAGGCAAGTGAGGAAGCAAGTTGGATTAGATGCACTGTATTTATGTCCTTTCACACTGTGTCAGCTTGATCTGTGGCTTATGTGGTAAATCCACAGTTACACATGTTTGCCACTATGGTGAAACCAACTGTATGGGCATGACAAACCATAATCTGAAGAACCTGAGATTGGCACCTATAGCTGTCAGATCCTGAATTGGCAAAGGGAGACAACTACTCCAATCTTAAAGGACCAATGTGTCCCTGCACTTCATGCTATTTTTATACATTTAACACCTACGTAGACCCAGTGGAATTCAAGCTAGACTGACCTGGTGGAAAGAAGATCCACTTCTTCCGTCCACAGATGTTAGCTGACCAGCTGTATGACCGGAACACGTCAGCGTGGAGTGGGGTCCTGAAGGTCAGAAGGTCACCACTGTACGACTTTGGCATGTGTAACTACTTCATTTACATAAGGAAGATACAGACATTTTAGGTCATCAAACCATAAACACAGTTTGTCAGATTTTGGGGTTAATTTACAACAGCTCAATAATAAGTGTGTAAGGGTGACACCACAGGTGCTGAAGCTCACCTTTATCAGATGACAAAAAGTCAAGTGAAAAGTTGTTTAATCAGCTTTTTCATCTAGGAACCATTGGTGCAGTTCTAGGATACCATGAAATTTAATGTATGTCATTTATGGTTGTTAACAAATTTGTAATCTCAATTTTCGTAAAAGCTTCTGTTCAAGGCCAGACCAATTTTATTTCTTGTTTTACGGATCCACGTGTCATATTTTTTCAAGAATAAGAAAAAAAATCAGAATTAATTTTCCCTGCTCAATAAATAAAATCCTTATGTTTATAAAATGTTTTTTTTTTGCTTTTTGCTCCATATACACTTGATAAATTGCCCAAAGTAAAATATTTTGAGTATTTAGAAAGAATATTACTTTGACAGGAGATTTTTACATTTATTGTTTTTCCCTCCTGCCTTCAGGTCTTCTAAGGACAAATATCCATAAAACAAGAAATAAAATTGGACTGGCCTAATAAAGGTAAATGATTAATAATTCGGTAAGATTACAGAATACCGGATACCTTCCGCCATCTTTGAAAGCACGCGAGTTTACTATTGGTTATTCTTACACACCCGTGGGTGAGAAACCCATGTGAGAAAACTGGTATCACACATATGTGTGAGATCGATTTCTAATCCCGTGATTGGCTACTCCATGGTGATGACCTAGGGTCAGGGTATGACGGACTACTTTCCTGATTAAAATTCATTGATAAGTTACTCGTGCTTCAATCGAACAGAAACCTGTTACTCGTGCAAAAAATACCCCTTTACACCTACCTGTTATTTTCGCGATTGCAACATAAACAGGTATTTATAAAATGAGTCACAAGTAGAATAAATATAACACAAATCTATTTATTTTCTAATTCCTTTTATTAAAACTTTCGATTTCTAGTCATGAATTCAAAATGGCTCCAACAATCAGTGATACCTGTGTAAACAATTATGTGAAAATCACCGTTACAGATAAAGCCCTTGATTCCCTTCGAATATTCAAAATGTACAACACTGGTACTTTTACTGGAGAGATGCGACAAGTGTCATGTGTCGTCTTGCAAAAATACCTGACACGATAACGTCAGTGTCTGTCCATTGTGAGATCGATTTGCCTCGTTGTTTCTTTGATGCATTGATGAAGATGACATTTTTCACTGATACACATGATGAAGACCCACTTCCAGCTGCGAGATACTACAACTATGTCATTCCAATGTTATCAAATTCACTCATGATAGTCAGAACCAAAACACACTCGTTGAAACAATGTACAACATGGTACGTTTTGCAAGGCTTCATGAGTGCAAATGGCGGCACACGTCCTTTCTATTCTATCGAACATGTACAGGAACGGTTGATCTACACATAAGTCACCGCTCAAGATATTCCTCCGACGCATGATAATGCAAAGTTTATGTCTTGATAACATACAGGATGTAATCAACTCACATTTCATACTGACAACTCCGTTACATTCCAAGTGGCAGTTTCTGGCTCGGGAAAACGAGAAGGATGTGGCGGAGAAGAGTAGTCCCCCATTGATAGTGAACGTAACCTCGGCAATGTCACATTCAAGCACACTGGAGGGTGCACCTAATTACACACACTCAAAAGTTTTGGTCCGTCGATGGGAGAACATTGAACGTAAACTGGTACACAAGTACAGATCCCCAATGTGCAAAGATATCCAAAACAATCTTCCGATGATCTACAACCACCAAGCAATAACGATGGCGCCACTGCTCAAATATTTTACGGCTTGCAAGATTAAAATCATCCACATTTGCATGGTAACATCATCGTTTTAGAGGGTTTAATGACTTTTCTGTGATCTTATCTAGTTATCATTATCTCTATTGCCTTGATGATCGCTAAGAGTTGGCAGAAACCTTTTGTGGAGGGTCACCATTGGGATGTGTAGTGATTAGGAAGCCAAGTGACGTCACTCATTCATAAACGTTGTGTTATGTATTATTGCGCACCTACGATGAGAAAACATGAAATTTGAATCTATTTGACCATAAAATGGTGCGATTTTATGGTGTGTAAAGAAACAGATTACTGTACTGTAGTGTCTGTCAGATAACATTTATCTTCACAAATCGTTGTTTAAAACGTATTTAACTCGCTCGCTCGTTAAACACGTTTTGAAACAACTCGTTGTAAGATAAATGGTATCTGACAGACACTCGTTTAGTAATCTCTATGGGTTAGGGTTAGGGTTAGGGTTAGGGTAAGGTTTAGGGTTAGGGTAAGGTTTAGGGTTAGGGTAAGGTTTAGGGTAAGTGTTAGGGTAAGGTTTAGGGTTGGGTTAGGGTTAGGGTAAGGTTTAGGATTAGGGTGACGTGACACTAAACGATATGGCTGGTAGGTATCCGGTATTCTGTAAGTGTACCAATAATTCATATACCGCGAATAAACCTGTCATTCATTCAGTCTAGCCACGCTCGCCCCTGAGTTGTTACCATAACACATCAAGTTTAAAGACAAAAATCTACGGGAATCTTAAAATGACGACTGATAGTAGCATAAAGAATCATACTTAACTGTCGCTGTAATGTATTTCCCAAAACATAATTAAATAATGAGCCAAATCCCATCGCCGAATTAGCGAAAACAGTAATGTGTTTTGTGGCCGCCATGGAAATTGGTCACATGACAGATGGTTTGATACAAAACAGATTACCATGAAACGACTCGGAAAGAAATAATACAGCAGTATTTTATTTATTCATTAAGATTTTATTTACCAGTACATCATGAAGCGAATAGTCACTTAACACTCAATCATCTCATTCACAACAACCCGGCTTGTTTGAAATCACAAAGAGCTTCATATACAATAGAAGTTAATTCGTCAGATCGTCAGAATTCGGAACATAAGACTGATGTGTTTTTCATCTCTTCCGTCTTCTGTCGCACAGATAGGGATTTCCTGTGAGTATGCAATAAACGCCGCCTGACAGGTTAAGCCACTCTGTTTGTTTTCACTGCTATTAGTGGCGGCCAAAGAGACAGCTGGCAGTTCCGGCAATTACTGATTGCGCGAATAATTGACCGCGCGATGTAGTCTAAACTGTCAGTTCCGCGAAAATTGCACCACGCAAAAATAAGTACGTTTACAGTACCTGTGATTCAATAATGAGAAACATCTCTATCAATTTTATTTGTGTGTGTGCATGTATTTGTGCGAGGCAGAAAAATAAAACGTAACACCACACACAATGTAATTGCTTACAGAAAGACTCAGGGAAATAATTTCTTACAAAACACCAGAAATAGGTTTCACACATTGTACCCATGCGGGGAATCAAACCCAGATCTTTATAATGAGCGAACGCGTTAGGCTACCCCACCACCCACTATGAAAGGTGAACACATTCACCATTGCAAGTATACATAAAATAACTGAACATTGCAATCAGTGTGCGAAATAGTTTCCAAATTTTGCAAGTCAGTCAGGCTAGCTATGCCTGAAAGTTACTAGCCCACAAAATAATTCACCAGCCCGAAATTTGAATGAAGACTCAAAGCACAATAGATGAGAAAACCATAGGCCAATTCAAAAATGCATTCCAATCATCTAAACCACCCAATTTTAATATATTCGATAAAAACTTTGGTACACGTTTCTGCCAAAGTTATCCACTCACGCCTCAGACTTGGGTGCAGTAATTTGAAAGCGCACGTTTGAACGGCACATTTCAGTTGATCCATTCTGTTCCTGTGGTCACCCCTATGAGGATACTTTACATTACTTCTTTACTTGTCCTAATTATTCAAACATCAGACATCACATGTATTTTTACGAACATGGATATAATTTAAATTCTGTCCTAAATGGTAATCCAAACAAAAATGTACTTGTAAATTCTTTCATACTACAATCTGTCCATTCTTTTATAATAAAATCGCATAGGTTTGATAAATGATTAATAATGTTTAATATGCAGGTTGCTTGCTTTCCTATCATGCTGCATATTATTTAATATTTGTTTTATTCAGGTATCAGTGAAATGGAGAGGTATTCAAATAAGCCATTAAGGCTTGTTTACCAATCCTAGTTCAATTTATTTTGAATAAAATATGTTTACACAAAAAAACAACAACAATAGATGAGCATAAGATATTGTCGGCATGACACAGGTTTCATTATTTAGCTGCAAATATGAAGCCATAATCTTGCATGATTTAAAAGTGTATTGTAATTTTACAGGTTGGAGAAAAAGATATATTAATAAGTGACCCCATGAAAATTCACTAGCCAGTTGGACCAGTGACTGTGGAGATTTACTGGCCCAACTGGATTTTACTAGCCATGGGCTAGCGGGCCAGTGGCTGAACTGCACACTGATTGCAATAAGGTGCTACATTGAACTTGTCATGAATTTTACTTTCTCGATTTTCTTTCCTTTCTCTACGGCAATGTGATACATATTCATCAGATCCCCTCGGGCTGTTAATAATGAGTGACTCTTGCACTTAAATTTGTTGTTTCATTTATTTCAGGTCATGCACATTAGTCATACGCCCAGTTTTCCTACTCCCATTTGTCATACAGGTATGTAGCGACTAACTTACACAATTGTCTGAGTACACCTTGGAAGCTGAATGGATTAGCCCACTGTCAAGAAAGGCAGGTAAGGCCTGTTAAACCCATAACATTAATCCATTAACAGAGATTTCAGCTTTATGGATGACAAGTTCTTGTTTATTGTATAGAGCAACGTTTTAGTGTAGATTCTTACGCCATTATCAAGCAGTAATATTCAAACACTGAATCCTGAGATCTGGACTGCAATTCTGAGTAAAGAGATCAAAGACAAAGAAAAA